GGGGGGGGGGAGGGCGAATAATAATTTCTGACAATAATAAATAATTCGGGATCGGGGTATAAACGATGAATTATTTCTGACAATAACGTGAAACTTGTGTTGTTTATCGAAAGAGATATATATAGGGAGGGATATATATCTAGTTTGTCATGGAAAATCGATCGGATTCGATAGGATCGATCGTGTATATCGGTGATAAACGAAAGAACGGGGAAAGTATCCGTGGTACATGTACAATGTAAATTTTGCACAAAGCTATAGTCGAGTATAATGTAACATTAAAGATCGAGTAGTACTTAAGACAATACATTTATAAATGCTGTCGACTTGACAATAATACGTAGGGTAGTGAACGATGAAGGAATCGCTGGAGAGAGGGGGGAAAAATAAATAAATAAAAACGAGAAAATATGTACAAGGTAACGTCAAGACATTATGTAATTTAAGGGTGATACAGTTGCAAACTATCCCCTATACGTGTAACAATGCTATAATATGTACATACTATAGAGTGGACCTTCCTAAAACGGAATGAAAGTATAAAATGTGCCTTGGGTACAGATAATAAACTTCTCTAATTACACGAATTAGGAACAACCACTCGGACAAGAGATGCCCTGCAGTACTTAGGAGCTGGTTTTCTTGCGCGTTGAACCTATCGTCGTGAGTTCGTAAAAGAAAGTATTAACGTTAATATTTCGTTTTACAAAGGCATGCCAAGTGAAGCAAATCGGTATACTTTAACGAGAATTCGACGAGAATTTATTCGAGCAAGGCGACGTACCAGAGAGCAGATAGCGCGCGATACGCGCAAGAAATGGAAAAAAGAAAAACGAGCAACCAAGAAATCAAAAAAATACATAATCATTCTAGAAACGTAGAGATTAACAATGTAGCAGAAGAAAAGCATATATCTCTCCCTCTTTTTTAAATGTGAATATGAAAAAAGGAAAGAACTATCCAGATTCTAAGTAACGGGGTGTCCTCAAAATTTCCAGCAGCGAACAAAATTGCAATTCCGATTGCTTAACGCACGAAGACCAGCCTGTATTTAATTATATATGCATACATACCTAACATAAACATTATATATATATATACATACAAATATATATATATATATTAAACATTCATACATTATATGAGGTACTACATGCATACGTGTGAAACAAAATTCAGAAATTTATGTCAGCTGTCAACGTTGTCCAATCTGTACCGTTTGCAGTTTACCAACCGTACGACGATTAGACAAAAAAATCTAGCACAATTTATATCGTTCTCCTCTCCTTTCGATGCAAAGATCATCCGAGTGATTCCAGCCTCGAGTGATTCGTAAAAACGAAACGAGCGAACGAGTACGCAACGTTGGGCAACGTTGTCCAAGCGTCTTTCACGTGAGAAATGCGTCGAAGAAGCAACAGAAGTGTTAAGTAAGGATACGTGGTTACACGCGTTTGTAAAGATAAAATTAAGCGATTATAAGAAGAAGCGACGAAGCGGAAGGATTCGCTTGATCGGACACGCCTGTCGGATGACAATATTTCCGGTTGTACTCGACGGCGATCCTCCACATAGAATTCCACGCTGCAATCCCGCACACCCTCGTCTCTGTTTCCGTTCTCTTCTTCCTCGTCTCACCTGCTTTTGCCATCTGTTTCTCCGTGTCATACTTCGTTCAAAGAGAGCGAGATCAGATCGCAGATATAAGAACTCTGTAAACGACAATAACACGATGACGATCACCGAATTTGGAAGTTCAGTGGAGGGGCTGCTCCGATGAATCGAGCGAATGATTTTCGCGCCAGCCGGCGAACTCAGAGAGAAAGAAAAACGTCGTTCCTCGACGTGCGTAACATACATACACATGACGCTGCCCTGCGTCCGCAGCTCTCAAGACAATAAAAAGACGAGCTGTTTAACTGTTCAAGGATCGATCGTCCGTTCGCCAAAGTTACTCGGACAATAACGCAACCGTGATTGCGACCCCCAAAGAGTTCTATATTTTATGGAAGGGGATGGTAAAAACGTATCCGAACGACACGTTCTCTGAAAACGTTTGCCGATGTATCTCATCGGGCAATATTCGACAATATTCACGGACATGGTTTACCGTTCCCGATTTTGAGATCCGGACAATAATCACGATCGTTCCTTTCAAGTACAAAAACACTCGACCGTGTTGGTCGGTTGTTAAGATCGGACAATAAATACAAAGCCATTTGTACGAGGGAATGGCGCGAAAGAGATGCTCGATCGTAGGGCAGCGAACGCCATTTGTTTAGAGGACAAACAATGTATCTATATCTGGATCAATTATTCGAGATGTAAGTGTACAAAATGATGAAATTAAATATGGCGCGCACACGTTTCTCCGCCGGCAATTTAAGCTACTAGTTGTTAAACGACTGTACAGAACAAACGAAAGTTTTAGATAGGAATGTAAAGATCTTCTCTTTTTAACAATCTCGTTTCTCCTCTCCTCTCTTTTTCTCTTTGTCTTTCGTATATGTATCTATATATACATATGTGTGTGTGTGCACTTTCTACGCGTAACCATTTCTCTCTCTCTTTCTCTCTCTCTCTCTCTCTCTCTCTCTCTCTTTGTCTCTCGTTTTCACCCTTTAGCCCCGTAGAATATTCACGGAGCAGCCCTCGAAATTAATTAGCGATTAAGAAGAAGTAAGAAAAGCGAGCAAATAGTTTAGAAACTAAGTGAAAAGAACCATCATTTTTCGCTGCGTCGACGTGTAGTTTAAAAGCGAAAAACGAAAAATGAGAACTGTGAGAAATCAAAGCGAGGATCGTGCCACCGATTGTTACTGATTGATCGTTGATCAATCGATCGGCGATACGATCGGCTGCTGATTTCACCGTGCGAGATCATCTCAATCGTGAGTTTCGAATTTCGTCGACGATCTATCTTTGTGGCGAGTAAAAACAAGTTTATATTTTGCGTCTTTCGTATCGTAGTCGATCGTAGCACTTTGCTGCGTGTAATTTCTCTTCCATGCGCGCTCCGATCCTCTCGTGTGAAAGTCGACAGGTCCGAGAATCGATCAACTCGAAGAATTGAAGCGAAGAACAGAAGAGATCGACAGAACGAGATTCCATCTTAATTAGCGTTCAATTCGAATGCGTGTGAAGAACGTTTCTCCTTGCTTTGATCCTTTCTTGGCTGACAGTTTCGACGAGCTTCTCCATATTTGTTATACATGGTTTTTCTTCTACTATACCCGCTCACATATCCCCGTGAACATATCCCTAATAATAAGATTCGAAGGGTTTAAAGCGAAACGTTCTCGATTAGTGTTTTATTCAAACGAAAAAGAACAAAGGGAAAAAAGAGAGGAAGACGATAACAGCGAACTCTCTCTCTTGAATTCGAATGTTAAGGAAATTAGATAGAAATTCGACGAACGTCCTCGAAGATCGGCGTTTGTGTCTCTGATTTTTCCCACGAAATGCCGTCTGAGAAACATTTCGGAAGATCGAGTGGTTAGGCGAAAATGAAGATCGCGATTTGACATTGCCACGATGCGACGTGAAAAATCGAGATTGGGGAAAAAATGGAAGTGAGAAACATACGGCGGAGTGGTGACGAACCGTAGAGATAAGCAAAGAACAAAAAAAAAAAAAAAGAAAAAAAAAGAAAAAAAAAAGAAAAAACACTCGAACTAGCGATTTTAATGATGTCGATTATTCGAACGGATGTATAACACTGTCAATATGTATGTTACGACGAAGGTCTTCTTGTTTCAACGATATAGAGTTAACCGAGAGGCTTTTAAAAAACTGGATATCATTCTGAATCTTATCCTTGTCGTAGAATATAT